TTTATTTCAAGTGTCATTAAAAAGTCTTAAAAAGTCTTGAATTTTCCTTGCCTTATGCTATAGGAACCCTGCAATAACAATAGATAAAATCCCAGAGGAAACATGCAAAAGGCTGATCAGCAGCCATAGGAGGAGCTCAATTGTTATTTTGAAAGGGAATAAATAATATTTAATAAGCTTTTTAACTCAAAATGTCAGTTTTTATTTTTTTTTTAAACACCTCATTCCTCAGTGAGTAAAATACAGTTTGACTAAATAGAATAGATCAGTTTTTAATTCTACATCTGTCAGATATAAAAACTAATTTGGCTTAAATGTGGCTCTTTATGCTTGAATGAAAAACAGTAAAAAATCCAACGATCCTCGGATACCAGGAGCTGCAAAGTCATCACAGTTCTTAAAATGATTGGTTTTCTTTCACTAATAATAAACAATGGGACTATGATCCATCCATCCTGCTCTGGGTGTCCTTGTAGTTAGAGGTTGTGGGTTGGATTCCAGCTTCCTTATGTCCCGTGGACCTCTGGGTGTGAGTGGGTAACAGCAGCCGTAGTGAAACATGATTTCAGTGGTCAGTTTAACTAGAATTCAGCCTGTTTACAAAGACTCGCCTCTAGAATCCAGAAAGGTTCTGACTAAGAACATTTTAAACTTCTTCTCCACCTCTGCAGGTTCTCCTCCTCCACCCTCCTCCACTGCGACCCCGATCCTCTCCGTGTCCAGGGGACCCTGTGGTCAGGGGGAGCGGGTGTCGCCGCCTCAGGCTGTGGTCAAACCACAAGTTCTCACTCACCTCATTGAAGGCTTTGTCATCCAGGAGGGAGCGGAGCCGTTCCCAGTGTGTACTCTCCATCTGTACTGGGAATCCATCGTTCGGCTCTGGGCTGTCGCCTGAAATGTTGTTTTTTTCCTCTTTTTTTTCATAGATATGTGGTCCAGCAAAAGACTCGGCTGGTGAAGATCTAACCGATGATAGTCCAGACACCAACCAATCAGAAACGGTCACTACGGCAACAGGTATCGGTTGTAGTATCTAGAAGCCCCCTTTGTTTCTCCCAAGCTAACTTGTGTCCAACAGGAAGGTGCTCGCCCTTCCTGTTAGCTTTATCCGTCTTCTTCTCTCCAGTCTGAAAGTAATGCAGACGAGTGTCTACATGTAGAAAAAAAATATAATTATATTTAAAAAGCTTGTTTTGATTTTCTTTTTCCATCTAGCTATGAACAATGTTAGTAATAATGATAACTAATTTAACAAGGTAATTTAGTAATCACTTAAATGTTTCTGCAGCATAGAGACTCTAAAGGGGAGTGTGGCCTAGTGGTTAGGGCATAGAACTTGGACTCCTGAGGTTACGATTTTAAGCCCCACTCCCACGGACTCCCTCTCTGGGTCCCTGAGCAAGAACCGTAACCCCACACTGCTCCCTGGGCGCCGAACAATGGCAGCCCACTGCTCTCCAAAGGGATGGCTTAAATGCAGAGAGTTCATTTCATTGCTCTGTACTTGTGACTGTAATGACAATAAAAAAATAAATAAAAAAAAAGGTAAGATGAAACATGTCATTAACTATAAGAGAAACCAACCTAGAGCCGTAATTATATCAAACTTCCCCCCCAAAATTCAACATTTTTTATTCAAGATGATAAAAATCTAAAAAAGTCTAAATGCTCTACACAGAACTCCTTCACTGGATTAGTTTTAGCCCAACACTGCAAAAACGATCTAGAAATAAGCAAAAATGTCTTAAATTAAATGTATTTCCCCTTAAATTAAATAGGTAATAAGATCATCTGCCAATGGAATGACTTTCTTTTTACTTTTAGAATAAGATCATCAGATAATATACACTTGAAATAAGATACTGCAATTGTTTTTTTCTTATTTTAAATGTAAATTGGTCCATTGGCGAAGTGTCTGTCTCACTTACCTCCTCAATTCAAGAAAAAATGCAACTAGATTTTCGTTCTTTGCAGTGCACCTGGTTGAAATTTGGTTTTAAGTCTACTTTAAGGAATGTCATTAATTAATTAACTGGAAAAATGATCAACAGATTAATTGATTAACAAAATAATGATTAAACAAAATTAGCATCCTCTCTCTCTTTTCTGGGCCTGAGTTGTAAGAGTTTGTTTGACAAACGAACTGATCAGAAACGATCAAACTCTTTCCAACCAGTCGGTCTCCAGTGAGGCCAGCCAAGCTGATTATTGGCCTCTTTCCAGTTTCTCGGTGCATCTCAAAACGGGATCACAGGCGTAACTTTCTGAAGGACTGCTGTGGATATGTCCCCACCAATGATTTCCGCTTTTTTTCCCCTTTCCGCTTATTTACTTTCGCCAAAGGTAACAGAGTTGGGTGCAGCTAACTGTGTTCAGAGCGTTTTGAGACATTTTTTTTTCTTGTGCAATTCTCCTGTGGCTCGCCTCTCAGTGTGACATCATCGGATCTGTCGCTTTGAGACATTTGATTTGCGGTCGCATTTCACTGATGTACAGAGTAGCTACGTGGTTGGAGGAGATAGGAATAACAATAGGAAAGCATTTAATAAATGTATGTTTGAGCTCATTTTTTGGAAAAACACGTAATGAAAGCATTCGGGTCGAGTAACTGTAGGTCCATCAGCCCTTTCATCACAAAGTTACACCCTTGAATGG